GGATATTGTGCCCTTGTAGGAGGTAACCTTGTCTCTTGGAGGAGTAAGAAACAAAGTGTTGTTTCTCGCCCTAGTGCCGAAGCTGAATACAGGTCAATGGCTAACGGAGTGGCTGAAATCCTATGGCTGAAGTCACTACTTGAAGAGTTGGGTATTGATTATGAGAAACCCTTGATGTTGTATTGCGATAATCAGGCAGCTATTAATATAGCTCACAACCCGGTGCAGCATGATAGAACTAAACATATCGAAGTTGATCGACATTTTGTCACAGAAAGGGTCTCATCACAAGAAGTGTATCTCCTGTATATCACCTCCAACATGCAGCTCGCAGATCTTCTCACCAAAACTGTTCCAAGGAAGAAGTTAGAAGCAGACCTATTCAAGTTGGGAATGACAAATATCTATTCCCAACTTGAGGGGGAGTGTAGAGAACACTGATGTGGGCCCCACAGCTGTGGTCCCCACTGTGTTCGTGTGACAGCACATGTAACCCTTGTTAGTTATGTTAGTGTTAGTTGGTAGTTATCTTAGACAGCTTGTTATTTCAGTTTTTTATTTGTTATATTTGCCATGTAAGCATTAAGGGCAATTCTGCCCTTTCCTACAATTAGTGAACATAACATATAAATATTGAGAGAGTGGCGGCGGCAAATTCATTCGATCTGTCCCTCCTTTCAAAACCCTTGTGTACTTCTGCTTCTTCTCCCTCTTTCTTCTATTTTTCTCAATCCGAAATCTTTTGGAATTCAAGACTGACTGTAGTCTTGATCGACTACTCAACTCTGATGGAAGTTTTATAGAAAATTTGGCATTCACTGGGATAGGGGGTGTCTTCCAAGACCCAAAAGGAAGAGTGGTGGTTTTGTATTTAGGACCCTTAGAGCATGGTGATACACTGACAACAGTACTGGTCAGCTTTCTGCAGGGGTTAAAGTTTGATAAACAATTTGGATTCCACAATCTAGAGGTGGAAGGGGACTCTTAGGTGGTCATTTCTTGGACAAGATGCAGCACCCAAATCTTTCCTACCCATTGTGTTATCCAAGACCTGAAATATCAAAGGACGATTGGGAGTGGCTATGAGACAAATAGAATATACTTGATGGATACACCTAATGGAAGTCTTGGACCACTTCATGGGGTAGCTTTGGAGTCTATTTCTATAGAGTCTGTTGATTGAGTCATGTTATGTCATTTATGTTTTGGTCATTTGTCTTTTTCTACTTTAAGTCATTTGTTTCCAGAAATGTTTAAAGGGATATCTCTATCTAGTCTTCATTGTGAGTCATGTGAACTTGCAAATCATTGTAGACATTACTATTTAGTGAGTAATAAAAGATCAACTTTTTCTTTCCATATTATGTACTCTAATGTGTGGGGATCATATCATTTATCTACTATGAGGAGTTACAAATACTTTATCCTTTTTGTTGATGATTTCTCACACTTTACTTAGATTTACCTTAAGAGATCCCAAAATGAAATGCCAACCATTGTGCAACGGTTTTATGAACTTATTCTTATCCAATTTAACAATTGGATCAAAATGTTCTACTCTGATAATGCAAAGGAAAATTTTGAGAAAAATCTTTCGTCCTATTTTGATGCATTTGGGGTTATACATCATAACTCTTGTTCCTACACTCCACAACAAAATGGAGTGGTAGAAAGGAAGAACCATCATGTGGTTAAGGTTGCCAAAAGCCTCCTTTTTGCATCCCATTTTCCTATTAAATTTTGGAGGGATGTTGTCCTTACAGCTACATACTTGACAAACCACATGCCTTCTTGTGTTCTAGGTTTCAAGACCCCCTTTATCCTTCTCTTTCTTGATGCGGATCTCTTTTCTCTTCTTCTTCGAGTTTTTGGGTGCATTTCCTATGTGCATGTCCATGGTCATCAGGGACATATATTTGAACCTAAAGCACACAAGTGTGTTTTTATAGGATATGCCCCTACACAAAAGGGATATTATTGTTATGATTCAGTGCTTGGAACTCACTTTGTTTCTAGGGATGTCACATTTGTAAAGTCTATTACTTTCTTTGGAACTTGTCTTGAGTGGGAGCATTCTGAAGAGTTGTTTGCTAGGTCCCCAGTTGTTCCTCTCCTGGTTCCTCTTGATTCCTTGATTAAATAATCTACTTCTATTGGGTCTCCTCCAATTAAGTCTTCTCCACATGTTCCTGCTCACCCTCCCATTTTCACTTCTCATCCCATTGTACAAAGGTGGTACTAAAGACAAAGACTCGTGTATGAGCAAGTTATTTCCCCTTCTTCAACCAAGCCTCTTGCTCCTCTCATCACTACTAAGGTATCAGGTCAGCCCTCCTCTACTCCTACTACTACCTTCCTAGATCATGACCTTATTGCCCTTCGAAAAGGTAAACGGAAGTGTGCAGCTCATTGCATCTCCAAACACCTGTCTTACAGCCTTTTTTTTATCAATGAATATTCAGATTTATTAAATCAAAGCCAAAGATAGTACAACTTAGGGAGAGGCACGAGATGGTACCTCCCCTTTAAAGAGGGGAGATGGAAGAAACCATCAACCCTTTAGTTAAAGAACATAACAAAGGAAAAAGGTTGTCTTCAACTTACTATTCCTTTCTTGCCTTTGTTTCTATACATGTTATTCCTAAGTCTGTCCCATAAGCCTTATCTAAACTAGAATGAAGGAATGCTATGATGACTAACATAGATGCTTTGCATAAAAAAAAATACCTAGGAAATTATGGACTTGTATGAGGGGTAGGAACTAGTTGATTGTAAATGGATTTTCACTATTAAGTACCATTCTAATGGTACTACTGAGAGGTTTAAGTCTAGGTTGGTTGCTAAAGGTTACACTCAAATGTATGGTGTTGATTACTTGGAGACATTTGCCCCTGTAGCTAAAATGACATCAGTTCAAGTTTTGAGATCATTGGCTGCTAGTTTTGACTAACCACTTTACCAATTTGATGTCAAAAATGCATTCTTAAATGGAGATCTACATGAAAAAGTTTATATGCCTTTACCTCCAAGGGTGTATAGGAAGGAAATGCAAGGGAAAGTGTGTAAATTGAAGAAGTCCCTTTATGGCCTCAAACAATCTCCTAGAGTCTAGTTTGAGTGATTCTAGGTTGTCATCGTTACCTTTGGATACACACAAACTCAGTCTGATCATACTCTATTTGTTAAAAAGAGAGATTCCTTAGTGACCCGTGACCCTACTCATTGTTTATATTGATGACATTGAGGTTACTAGTGATGGCACACAATAAGTGATTAACCTTAAAAGGTCAGATATTTCTTGGGAATTTAGGTTACTCGAACCAAGGATGGTATCTTCATTTCTCAACCTAAGTATGTTCTTTATCTTTTTGTTGAGATTGGAAAAACTTGGTGCTAAACCAACTTCTACACCTATAGACTTGAATCACAAGCTCTCGGCTACTGATGGTGAACTATTGGCTGATAGGGGAATGTTCCAAAGACTGCTTGGAAAGTTGCTTTATCTTTGCATGACTCAGCTAGATATTTCCTATGTAGTGAGTGTCACTAGTCAGTTTATGTTACCTAAAAGGTACTCCAGAGAAGGGTATCATATTTGCTAAGCATGGGCACATGATACTAGAAGTATACACTAATGCATACTAGGTTGGATGTATTGATGATAGGAGGTCCACCCTGGGATACTATACTATGGTGGTAGAGAACATTATTTCGTGGATGAGTAAGAAGCAATCTATAATGGCTAGTAAGGGTGTAAAAAATTCAATATCTGAATTCGAAGAAATATTCGAATATTCAATTCGATTCAAATTCGATCAATTAATTATTTTAGGTAATTAATACATATATAAAATAAATATTTTATTTATATAAAATATATAATTTAACTATTATATATAAATTATATAAAAAATTTAAATATTCCATATATTATATATAAGAATTAAATAATCGGTCGAATTCGGATATTTATTGAATCAAATCAGGTCATATCTGAATTCGAATCCAATTAGCTATTGGATATGAATAGGATATCTGAATTCGACCCATTAGATATTCGAATTATCCAAATTTTCAAATACCGTTGACAAGCAGCTATCAACATTGCACATAATCCTATCCAACATGATAGAACAAAGCACATAAAGGTTGATAGACATTTTATATGGGAGAGAGTTGCTTCATGGGAAGTCTGCCTACCATTTATAGCTTTTGAAGAGCAGTTGGCTGATGTCTTGACAAAAGGTGTTTCAAAAGGGAAGCTAATAAACTATATAAGCAAGCTGAGCATGATTGATATCTATGCTCAGCTTGAGGGGGAGTGTAGAGATACTAGGTCGAATGGGGCCTAATGCACTATTATGTTATCTTTTGTTTTCTTATTTATTATGTTTGTTAATGGGCCTTGACTTTATGGGCTTGTTAACCTTTCTTATTTAATTTTTAGTATGATTATGAATTGGCCACCCCTTTAAGGGCAGATTTGTAATTGTTCCAATTAAGTTAAGTTTAATAAAAGATTAGAGGAGTAAGGGAGGAAGAGATCGAACTATCTTCTTCTTCTCCTTTCTTCTTAATCTTCTTTCTTCTTTTCTTTACTGCTTCTCTTCTTTCTTCTCACCTTTTTGCCTATAATCTGTGATTTATTTTTCTGATTTATTGGACTGTATCACATCTAATTCTGTAAAACTGTTGTAAGGCTAGTAATACTATATGAAGCAGAGTGTTGGGTAGTCAAGAAACAATATTTCAAAAAATGAGTGGAAGAGTGGAAAAAATAGAAAGAGTAAGGTCAAAAATGAAGTGATCCTAAGGAACCTAGGAGTAACAACAAGAGAAAGTAGACTAAAATGGTTTGGTCACATGCATAAGACCATCTACAGCACCCATAAGAATAAGCAATCTATTGCAAGTTGAAAGGTCTAGAAGGGATAGGAAAAAACCAAAAAGGACATGGGAGAAAGTAGTAAGAAATGATTTAAGCGCTCATAATTTAACAATGAATATGGCATTAAATAGAACAGAATGGCAAAACAGGATTCACATAGCTGACCCCATATACTTGGCATAATTCTTAGATTACAATGATGAAAATGATAATGATGATACATTTCTCTTTGTGCACCTCTTGCTTTAATTATCTTGCTACTAACCAGTGTTGCATGGACTCTTCTAAATGGATGAAGTGTCCATGTCAGACATGTATCAAACTTCAGCACTCCGGATTCTTGAGGGACACTTCCATGTGACATTTTCTTCCTTTCACTGTTTATTTGACATAAAACTTTGTTTTATCATCTTCTTGAGTCAGACTCTTGGTCATGCATCATATTCTGATTCTCATGTCTGCATCCATGCAACACTACTACTAACTGATTGCATTTCAAGATAATGCACCTCAACCATCGAAAAAGAACTTCAAGCTGACAGAATATTTAATTGAGTTCACAATTTGAAGAAATATACTTACTCCTTTAGCTCCTGGGGGTAACTTCTTGATTTGGTCTTTAATGATGGTCTCTTTCCTTCTAAACAAATCATTTTAACAGCATCTTCTGTTGATTTGGGGTGGAAAGGCGGCACTCCTTCAATCATCTGTTTTCCGGTCAAGCAAAGAAAAAAAGAAAACAACTGATTAAACAACCTTCCATAATAATAATATGCATCAACACGTAATATGACTGCCTACACAATGAACTTGAACCATGGAGAAAAAAAAAAAAAAGAAGAAAGAAATCAGCATCATGGCAGGGCATCACATGAAATATGTGGACTCACTCTTGTATGGCAGCTCTACATAAGCCATCAACTTGAATCGAAGATGAAACATTTTGGTCATACCATGAAGTAAAAATTTAAATGATCCAGACAGCTTCTCCAAGATTATTTAATATAAGAAATGTGCATGATATATTGGGTGTGGCAAGTGTTTTTATGCAAATATCAATCATTCTCAAAATCGGACTGATCCCCCTGTTCAGTTGTCATCACAACTTCATGGTAATTTTTTTTCTTCTCCTTATGTCATTATGTGAAAGAACTTGGTAACATCTTCCTATTTATCAAGGAAATTTGCCTTGAACAGGTGAACTAAATGAATAAGTGTTATGTTTTGGGGACAGTAGCCAATAAACTTCTATCATATGCNCTCCACATCCATGTGAAGAAAATAAAAGTGGCAGACAAAGTACAGCTTCCCTCTCAGCATTGGCCAGCCAGGGTGATGATAGTCCATCTCCCTCCAATGTAAGGGCCTACTTAACATATGGATGGTCTAGGTAGTTTTTTCCCCTTTACATGAAATAAACAAGTATTGCATGAGCCATGCAGGCTCTTTCCAGATTATTTTACCTGTCTTCTGTACTTTTTTCCATTTTCTTATCAATGAGCTAACAGGTTAGTAATTAATCCTTAAGGGTGAAGTCAGTATTTAATTCCAATATCCAGAGTATGAACTAATACAGACTTTACCAACTAGCTAGTTGGCATATCATTTAGGTTATATTTGGATTGATCATTGAGGTGAGATATGAACTATACCTGTAATGTGATTCAAGGAAAACTTTTTTAAAGATGATATGCAAATTCTGTAGTAAAGTAATCCAACTAAAAAATCTTGATTGGATGATTTTAAGTCACTAAAGAAGTAATAAGAATAAGAAGCAACATCAGTGGAAGCAACAAAAAACAACAACAGTAACAAAAGCTATCCTGACTGGATTTGGGTCTTGAAAGAGATCTTCCCACTGAGGAATGTATAAACCTGCCAGGAATGACCCAACGTGTATGAAATAGCCAGATAGATGAGCAAATCTGCACATTGCACACATCTACATCAAGGATATTCTTGTCTGCACGTGTTTTGATGTGTTTACATATGCCCTTATGCTTAGGTTAATACAAAATTTCTGATCTTACCCATCTTAACATTAGATGGACCAGATCATTGCTTTGAAACGTTGGAGGCTCAAAATTTCAAAGTTTAGAAGGCATGTCCATGGTTGATGAATTCCATAATAATTTTAATCAGACATGTGAAGCCTCTTATTCATTTAAATAACTTCATTTGTAACATTTGAACATAAGAAGCTAAAATCAGGAAAAGAAACACAACAAAACAGTATAACATGCTAATGACAATAATGGTGACTATGATGATATCCATAACAATACCTCACAAAGAATAAGGCCAAAGGAGAAGGTGTCAACACTTCTGTCAAATATTTCATCTTTATAGACCTCGGGTGCCAAATATAGACCTAGCATTGATGAGAACAAAAATTATGTGATCTTTAAGTACAACCATAGGATAAACAACTTATTTATATATTTAAAAGGAAAAATTAAAATTTTATAACATGTGAGTTTCATCAATGGTAATAGCAGTTACAGCATAAACAGTCAAAGGGACCTCAGTGATGATCTAAAAACTGGCTAGAATGTGTCCATGATGATTTCTAGAATCTCCAATACCTAAGCCACCTGGATTGCCCATACTACAGCCATCAAAACTTAGATGCATATGGTTTGGTGGAGGAGGAGACCAAGTAATAACTGCAAAAAAGGGCTCAAAAAGGCTTAATAACTTCATCTAATGAGATACCTTTATTAAAATAGTCTCCATTAAAACTATTTTGTGTGAAATCTTTCTTAAAAATCCAGAATTTGCTTCTTTCTTTGGTAATAAAAAGAAAAAAAAAATATATTAAAATAAAAAGATAAGGATGAAAAGAAAAGTGACCAGCAGTTAAGCAAGAGAAGAAAAAGAGACTACACCTCAAAAGACAAAGCCCAGCCTCTAAATGTCAAAACAACCACCCACATGACAAAAACAACAGATACCCCCCCAAAAAAAACCATCCGCCCCCGCTAAACAAAAACAAGACACAAACAACACCCTACATCAACAGACAAAAAAATGACCCTCTCTACAAACTTAATTAGAAACCTCTTTGCCTCTCCTGCTAGCTTTCTTCGAATTCACTTTCTTAGTAGGCTCAATTCCAAGCAAACCCCCTTTTAGTCTTGCAAATACTTTTGAGCAGTTCTCTGGTTGTTGAATCTTCTCACTGCATTAGGCTTCTTCCTCAATACCCTTAGTGTCTTTTGACCATCATTAACTTTTTTCCAGTTCCAGCACCATGTTTCTCTCAAAAACTGCTCCAACACCAACTCTCCCTATCCTCTGCAACCCACCCCATCTCCTTCAAAAACAAACTTAACTTTTTTTATAAACTTTGACCTAGAATTGATATCAATCTCTTCTGAACCCAAAATCTCCTTTATCCTGCAAAGGCATCGGATGTCTTTCTTCCAAATCTTTAAACACTTTTCCTAGCAAAACCCACCCCTCCAAGAATATCTAACCCTAATGCTTTACTTCCACTTCTATTTCTACCATCTACTCCAGATTGACTGTCCTTTCAATTTCATGAGCCTCGTCCTTGTGACCTCATCTCCACTTGAATTATCTTCTCTCCTTCCTCCCCTTCAGTAGCTACTTTTTCATCATCATCTTGCAATGGCCTTGTGCGGTAATTCCTCTTCCGGCATTTACTTTTTAAACCATCTATAATGTAGCATCTATCTTACATCTCCACATTATCTCTAATGCAGGAGCAAAGAACGAAAAAACTGGAAGCTTTTGAAATTTTTATGTATTATGTATTTTTAGACGGTATGTGTATTTTAGTCATTATACATGGTCTATGGGGCCCATCTAAAATCCACTTCTTGCTACAAATGCCATTTGAGTCAGACCTATCACTTGTTGAATCACCATTTTGAACCTTTCCAACAAGACTTTCCCCATTATCTTGCATGCACATGAGATCAAGCTGTTAGGCCTATAACCTTCACCTCAATGGCCCCTTCAACCTTAGGTATTAAGGAAATAAAGGTAGCACTGGCACTTTTCTCCACCATATTCTATAAGAACAAATCTCTACACATTAAACATCTCCTTAACCATAGACCAACATGTTTTAAAGAAGGCGAAATTAAAGTCATCAGACCCTGGTGTTTTGTCCCCATTCAAAGAACTCACTGCCCTCCAAATGTCTTCATCAAAATCTCTTTCTAACACAACCCACTATCTTCATTCAGCATATTGAAATCCAGCTCCCCCCATAAAACATTTTCTTGATTGTACTGCTTTGAAAAGATTCTTGTAGAAGTTGCAAACAACTTTTATATCCTTGGATCCTCCACCATACTTCCATTCACCTGCAGCCTTGCAATACAACTTCTCCTTCTCCTCATTGCAAATGCATGAAAAAAGAATGCGCTTTATCCCCTGCCTTTAACCAAATTTCTCAAGATTTTTTTATCCAATTGATCATTGTGCATTATTTATTCTTACTCAACTGTCATTCTTTTTTTCCACTCCTATTCTAGGCAGTTAGTTTTCTTCTTCCAATCTCTCTCACCGTGCCATTTTTTTCCAATACTTATTTTGTGCTTTTCTTCAAGTTCCCAAGTACACTCTTGTTCCAAATCTTCAAATCATCCTTAAGCAATTGTAATTTGTTCATCATTACAAAACCATCTCCTTGCATCTGGTAACTACTCTATTTTTGTTCTATGAACTCCATGAATTCCAGATGTCCAAACCACATATTTTCAAACCTAAGAAATTTTAGCCCTCTATATTTTGCCAAAGTCCCTCAATAAAGTTTGTCTGTGATCAGACAAAGGAATAGCTAAAGCTTCATGAATTGAATCATTCCAATTCATTTCCCATTCCCCATTAAAAAGGGACCACTGAAATCTCCTTAACATCAATGGGGACTGTCCATTTGTCCAAGAAAAGAAAGACCCATTCAAAGGAGGAGCATCAGCTATTAATGTTAATAAGAAGGGGGATAGGGGGTCTTCAAGCAATTACCATCACCAATTTGCTTTTCATATATGCCTTCTGTTAATGAGCTTCATCATTGGGAAAATAAAGCTAAATTTTTGTAGATGCTTTAACAAAATCAGTGGGTGTTTTACCATTTTATGGGTCCTTCAGTTCTAGTATATCTTTCTACAAAAAAAAAAAAGTTCTAGTATATCTAAAACCTTTCCTAATAACTGTAACATTTTTCCTAAAATATCAAAGGACAAAGAAAAATCTACAGAACTTTATAGGTAGACCTTTAGTAGCTTGATCAAGTAAATGCGTAAAAAAAAATAACCAGCTTAGGAATCTTTATTTGTATGTCAAACTTCAATCTTGTTAAAGCAACAAATTCGATTACAGAAGGATATTATCTAAATTAATTTGGACATATGGAAGAGCATACTTGAAGGGTCAATATGAGCGCCTGGTTGTGCCAATTTTGCTTTGTCGGGTGAAAGTTTTGACAACTTTATCAATCCAAATCCCGTTACCTTTAAGTTGCCTCCATCATCCAGCAAAATATTTCTGGCACCTTACCAAAACTTCAAATAGTAAAGAACAGTACATCACCCCAATGAGTACAAAGAAAACACAATCCGTAACTCTACCTATTTAACTAACTCTGGCTATTGGTTGTCTTACTTTGGCTTTAAATCACAATGAATAATTGGCTCTGGCTTGCATTCATGAAGATAGTTCATGCCCCTGAATAAAAAGAAACAGCATTGTAAACAACACATGTCTCAAAGAACCATTCAACTTAAAAGCTTAAGCTGTTAAGTGAGGTCCTTGAATAGGTTTTATTCTTTAATATGCCCCCTCACACGAAAGCCTATTGGGCTTGAAGCATGAGCAGCACAGACCCACCCATACCATGTGCTGAAACTTAATTAATTATAATGGGGTGACGAGACCACTTAGTCAAAGTGACTCTGATACCCTCTCAAAGAACCATTCAACCTAAAAGCTTAAGCTGTTAAGTGATGTCCTTGAATAGGTTTTATTCTCTAATACATGAATAGCTTAGCGACTCAAAAACTTGATGGTTATAAATATTTTGAAGCAAATACAAAGGTGCCATGTGGGGCATGATAAAATATTTTATCTCATACAATAAACTAAGAAGGAATATCCTGAAGGGATAATTGTAGTGTAGAAGCAAATATGAACTTGCCTGGCAATATCAAGAGCAAATCTCAGAACCTTAGAGAGTGATAAACGCCCTTTCTTTTGAAGATAACTTCCAAGGTCACCCTGACAAAATCGTACCGAAATGAGAACCAGTAATTCATTCTTTGAAGTCTAGATAGTGTATGTGGTGAATGTAAAGAGTTTTTTAAAGTACGCCCAGATACGGTAACTGGCACAGGCACAGATACATGGCTAAATAAGTGAAGTTTGTAAATAAGAAAACATAACAAATGTTAAAAAAATGAACTGTATAAGCATAATACAAAGGTAGTTCAGTAGATTAGTTGGTAAGAGAGTGGTCTTATGGCCGGCAGTTGACAGCTCAAGCCCCTTCAGTATTTTGATCATATCCTATCATATTCTGGCATATAGAATAATTCTCACATTTTGCTGCCAACCATATTCATACATAAAGAACAACTTCCTTACTTTTGGATGGTACTCTGACACAATCATCATTGGTATATTCTGAGTTACAGCTCCAACAAACTGAACCACATTAGGATGTCGAACTTTTTCTAACAACGTTAATTCATGCTTGAAAGCATTTCTGTTCCACAAAATATATATCAAAGTCATGTAACTGAAAATGCTAGTGAAGAAAAAAATGAAATAATAGCTTTTTAAGCAACCACTAACAGAAAAAATAAAACCAACTCATTGCAGCAAAATTTTGAAGACAGGCAAACAATATGGATTCAATAGAATGTAATGCCAAAACAAAATATCTAGTTTGCCCAACAACATGGAGCTTCCTACTTCCTACTACAAGAAACGTTATGGCTCAGGTTCCATCTGTTTTAGACCCTACACAGTCATCCAACTCGAAAGTCATCAACCAAGAAACATAGGAAGTCGCTAGCTCATGAATACTTGAAGTTGAAGGAGATTCTGCAATGGTAATAGGCTAGATTCATGTCCTTGATCATTTTGTCACTTCATCAGGGAGGCAATTCTCTAGCCTATGGATTGGCACTTTGTCACTAATATGAAAATCTCACTCAGTTGGATACTTGGATTCCACGGTAAGCCAATTCTCTAGCCTATGGATTGTCACAAGAAGAGGTTGAGAAGACTGTTTAGAGGATGGCATTGTCAGGTTAGCACATGCAGTGGACATTACGGCAGAGGGTCAGGCGAAGGTGTTGTTTTCTGTGTCCTGTATTTTGTTATTGCTTTCTTTGGGTCTTTCGAAACTAAACCGAATTACAAGAAAACCGAAATAATCTAAATCGAAATTTTCAGTTATTTAAATTTCATTAATATACATAAAATATTGTACATTATAACGTATAATATATGGGTGGACTGAACACTTAATATAAACCGCATCCTGTCCGTGGATTTGGCATCAATCCACGGTCAGGATTCATTTCTAAGGGTGGACTGAACACTTAATATAAATAAATAAATATATATATATATATATATATATATTATGAAATTGGATTTCATTATAATATACTATAAATAATATATTAATATATAAATATAGCATATTATATTATATATTATGTATTATATTATATAAAGAATCTTAGTTAATTCAGTTTTTTCGGTTAACAGAATTTTTAATTTTGAAAACCAAAGTTTTCAAAAACCAACGTAATCAAATTAAAATTTCCAAAAATCAAATTAACCGAACCAAAAAAATTAAAACCGAAATTTTCTATTCAATTTTTTGGTTTTAACCCAATAATGCAGACCCCTATCTGTCCCCCACAGAATGCACCCCAAAACCCTTAACACATTCCAATCAGGTATTGGAAACATTTCCCAAAAACACAATGCATGCTGAGATGTACATGTGGGGCGTTTTTGGACGCCTTCTCTTAGAGGCAGATGTGAACTCCTTCCTTACATTATTGGTGATGGAATATTGATCGTACTTGTTATATGATTATTACCCTATAAAAGCTCTGGTCTTATTATCAGCTCAACAAAAGGCACACCCAATGCATTTCCCATTAACTAGTATCCATGATAACTTCCTTGAACTTACTGATTCAAATCTTTCCAGGATATATACCATGAATTTAACTCACCCTGACCCTGTATCTGAAAATCATATATCAAAAGAGTTCAGGATCATAGAATAAGAAAATAAGGGATTAACAAAATATAAACCAAGGCCACAGGCTAACAAGAGCAAATCCTCGTCAGTAAAGTAGTTCAAAAAAAAAACTTGAAATACAAGATATATCAATATAATAAAGGAACACCTAAATATTTCATCAGTAAGCTTAATTAGGGATGTCACTAGAGAGAGTTAATGAGGTAACCCTCCCCTTCCCACTAATACTGAAACAGGTTTGGTATGTCCCTTGTCAGGTTATGGTAGATTTCAGATCGTGGAATGCCAAGCTCTGAGAGGATCAAGTTACGAGGTATTCCGTTCCTTGATTAACAAGCCATAGCCTGTACAGATATCAACTGTTTTCTTCACTCATTCTCCATTTTATTGACATATTTCTGTATCTTATCTGTCTGACCTTGCCTTGCCCCACTTTGTGCCCTGTCACCACCCCAACCCAGTGGGCTCAGATTGGCGCCCTACATATACATCTCAACGTTCATTGAAAACATCTTCCATCCTATCCATAAGAACAGATTGGCTCAGGCTGTGGTGCAATTGATTGCAAAAAAAACAAAACAAAAGGTTGAGGTGTAATCAGGTCAGGCTCAGGTGAAATCCATACTGAATCCAACGTGTTGGCACCCGTACACATGTCCTCATCACCCAGATTTGGAAAAATCAGTTCCAAGAGATCATGCATATCTGGCAACCAAATGGCCTTCATAGTTTTTGTGCACACAAGAGCAAAACCCATACTAAGAGACATAGAAGGGTTGCATTTACCGTCTCTTTCTCCTTTGGAAAATTCCAGAGCAGTACCTTGTAATTTGGCTCGAGTGACAATTTGGTCCCTAAATTTTAAAATGCCATAATTCAATACTTGAATTTTCAAAATGTAACAATCTAATACATGTCATTAATCAGTCCGTTAATCAGCTGTTAAGTAACATTTAAAAAGTCAAAAATGTCCTAAGAATGCTATCTAATTCTCTTTTTCAAACATCCAAACGATGACAAAAAACTGAATAGTACCAAATCTTAACCCCTTCTATTCAAAAAAATTGATGACTATTTAGAAGAATCCAGAATTTGGAACTGTCCATTTTATTGTCAATGTTTCGATGGTTGATAGAGAGATTTAGATGGCATTCTTAGAGCATTTTTGACTTTTCAAAAGTCACTTAACGGCTGATTAACGGACTAATTAACAGTAGGTATTGGATTGTCACATTTTGAAAATTCCGATACTGGAATGTCACATTTTGAAAGTTTGAATACTGAATTGTCGCATTTTAAAGTTTGGGGACCAAATTGTCACTCAAGCCAAAATACAAGGTACTGATAAAAAATTTTCCCTTCTCCTTTTTCTTCTTCATGTATCGATAACTGAATCCAATGGAATCCATTTATGCTAAAAACATAAATATGCAGGAGGTTTACACACATCCCATGTGTAAGCTAGATCTTTTTAGCCTATACCAGTTTTAAAACCATACTTTCCATTTAAGTCCAAAGGAGTTGATTCCTATTCATCCCTTGTAAACATACCATTTTCTTGCTCCATAACATCTTTCAACTTGCCCCCTTGATATTCTCTTTGTTATTGAAGTTTGTAATCATTGGAGAATTTTAAATAAATAAAAAGAATAGTTATCGATTAGTATCCACTTTGGGCTTAGTGTCATTTTAGTCTTTGAACTTTAAAACGCAACAATTCAGTATCCGAACTTTCAAAGCGTGTCAATCTAATATCTACCATTAACTAGTCTGTTGATTAGCCATTAAGTAGCATTTGAAAAGACACAAATGCCCTTCGAGTGTCATCTAATTCTCTTTATCAATCATCCAAATGTTGACAAAAAATGAACAGTCTCAAATCCTTGCCTATTCTATTCAAAAAAGTTGGGGTTACATCTTAGTGGGCATTCTAATGACCCCAAATTTCTTGAATAGAAGAGGCAAGGATTTAGTAATGTTTGTTTTTTATTATTGTTTATATAGTTGATAAAAAAAATTAGATGACACCCAAAGGGCATTTGTGTCTTTTCAAATGTCATTTAACAGTTGATTAATGATAGATACTAAATTGACACATTTTAAAAGTTTAGGTACTAAATTATCATGTTCTAAAATTTAGAGACCAAAGTGGCACTAGGCCCAAAATACAAAGTACTAATTGAAAATTTTCTCTAAATAAAAAAGGAATAACAAAGCATATTTAGGCAAAAGTTTTTTCCTTTAAATGATGAAGATAACTCTTCGGTTAAAGAAACAAAGAAAAGGGAAAGAACACATACATGCTCTCAGGGTCCGAATAGCACTCCTTATCAAGTATCTTTACAGAAACCTTTGTCCCATTCCATTTAGCCACTTGGTAAGTACCCTGTCAATGAAAAATAAAATAAAATATTATTATGAAACCATCCATAACGGAAAATATGGTTATATCAATTTTTAAAAAGGTGCAAAGAACCTAAAGTACATAAAATTTGCATCTATTCCACCATTTCAATGTAGAAACAACAACCAAACACCATATCAAAGATTTATTTTTACCAATTAAATACACCAAACAATACAATGAAAACTATAGAATATTATTTCGGAAAATAAAAATTAGATGAAATAAATAAATGGAAATTAGAGCGGTAGATAAAATAAAGCTCTTTAAGTATTTTAAATATTAGATGAAAAAAATCACATGCAGGTCTAGCACAATAACAGAACAAATATGATTTTTATATATTTTTAACTATTTGAAAAATCACTTTTTTATAAATAATTTTGAAAACCCACTTAAAAGTGCATGTTGACATAAGAAATACAAATAAAGTAAATCTAACTTTTTTCTAATTTTCTGTATAATATGCTTTTGAGTGGCATACAAAAAACACACTTTAAGTGTCAAAATGAGTGTATACGAAATAATGGAATTGAAGCTTGAGCAATTTATTTTGCTACAGACGATTCTTCTCATAAAATTATGACAAAATATATTTATGTCAATGTTGTGTAAGACTCGGACTGGATATAAAAATTGAATGCCCGTTGGGTCATATGTCAAATTATGTAATTGTTGGGTTGACCTAGTGACCGTGACATCATATAAATACCATAAAAAATGTATATTTCAATACATGTATATGTAATGCTCTTAATTTTAAAAAGAAGTGATTGGGGTCAAGTCTGTTCACTACATATACCTGTATTGAAATATACAAAATATCTAAATGATCTGTCTCTTGATTTTAAAAAGAAGTGGTCTCTTCACTCTTATCTTATTTAAAAATGTATACATATTTGATCAACCTACGGGTCACAAGTTTAAGTCTTCTTGTTGTTTATTTTAAAATTTAGGATGAATTACATATAGTACCCAATACTTTGGACCTAATGACACTTAAGGGCTTCAACTTCAAATGTGCCATTTTAATACTTTGAACTTTTTAAAATATACACTCAAGTTTAACTGTTAGCATTTCGCTAGTAATCTTGCATTAAACATTTTAAAATTCCAAAACTGCCCTTTTTTTTTCATTTTTGTCCTCCAATTTGAATAAACTATGTGATGAAGCAACATGGTGATTTATGCATCAACCTTCATTTTCTTTTCAGTTCTGAATCAACTAGGTATAATGGTTGTGCAGTCCTACCCCCTTTTTGTAACAATAAACAATGAAGTCTTGTCTCTCTCTCATTCTCAATGTCTTTATTTCTATAAACAGTAGTGTGAGAAATGAAAGATTTATTTGAAAATAATGTGAATTAAAAAGAAGCAAACAAATAACGAAGGCAACCTCCACTCCTTGCAGGCTTTTAGAGATTATTAACTTTTAAAGTTGTGTTTCCAGTCATTATGCCATCCTAAATTGTCTCTCTAATTTGTTTATTTTTTCCAAAATATTAATCATAAATGAATTATTGGATAGTGGGCATTTTGATAATTTTGTCATCCACATTAACATTTATTAATGGTGCTGGACTAGAGTGTATATTTCAAAAGGTTTAGGTCCTTTAGGATACTAATGTGTTGTACTTGAAAGTTCAAACCCTAAAATGTCATTACCCTCAAAGTATAGGGTACCTATATTATTTTCCCTAAAATTTATGATAAACTAGTTATCTGAGTAGGTCATTAAAACCCAACCAATTTTCATTGGTTTTTTCTAGCTTTTGAAGGGTCTATTAGTTTTCCAGAAATTTGACAAATTAGGATTTAAAAAAGAAAAAAAGTACTAAGGCGGTGTTTGACTTCAAAGTCATTCCAGAAAATGGTGATACATCAGCACCACATTGGAAAAATCGGTGCTTTAGAAAATGATAACATGTTTGGAACCGTTTTTTCATAAAAAACGGTGCTCCAAACCACGCCTTAGAAATCGAGAAGGCATGGTCTAGGAAAATGCTGAATTCAATGTTTTCTCAATTTGAAGCTCGTTGCTGCCAACGAGAACATGATGGGGCAGTGATGTGGACTTCCTATGACGAGTATCAGTGCTGAAAACAGATATGGAGCATTGGTACTAAATAGAAGATATTGTTATTACCCAAGGAAACATCCTAACTGATAATAATGTTTGCAAACAAAAAAAGACACTATTACTTCAAAAACGATGCTTCCAACCCACACATATACAACACCGTAAAAAAACTATACAGCATTGATGTGAAACATATACTAAAATGATTGTTGATTCCCAATTTCGTACTCGTAGTCCCATTGACCAGTCTAATCCAAGTCTCACAACATTGATTACGCACACTAGCAAAAGAAAAAGCCATGGCTTAAGCCCAGACTGAGAGCTTGTGCAATTAGTTTTACTATTATGACAATGCAAAGATGACTTAAGGCACATCATAATTTATTTCTTTATAAAGAATCAAGATCATACCATTGAAATAACATCACCCTTGCGAACCTGAAGTTCCATTGGATTAAGTTCATATTCTGGAATTTCTCGAGGGTTTGATACTGTCATTGGTGTCCGCCTAGTTTTCTGGAAAAAGAAATTTGGTGAACAACATTAAAGTAATGAAATGATATATATATATTTTTAAGTAATATAACTATCCATAAAATGATACAAAAGGTAGAAAAGTGTTGAAATTACTGGAACTTTGGCTCCTCTAGCCCTCAAGATATTGTAAATTTCAACATTTCCATAGTACTTAGCATCAGCAGCTGCCTGCCATCAGAGACAACTCTTTGTCAAGAGGTATAAAAGAATAAAATAATCATCAGGATTCCTTCTTAATATATGACACCAGCACATGGTCAACTTTAATTTATATTTTAAATGTGCAAATATTTTCACAAAATATTTCCATGGACGCTAAAATAAAACCATTTTGGAATATAAATACTTTTTCAAGTGTTTCAAAATACTTTTTTTAATAAGTTTTACTTTATTAACTATAACAATGTAAAGTTTTCAATGTACATGTACATAGACATCATCTAAATGATTTGTTTTAATATGATTATATTCTTTTCAAATCCATTATCTATATAAATTTATCAATTTTATAAATGATGGTGTTAATTGTATTCCAAGTGATTACATAGTTTCAAACTTTCCAATGGTATAGTGGTAACAAATTACAACAATAAAAAAATATCAACTCAAGTTTTAAAATTATTGTCACTAATATTAGTTGCTGAATTACTGGTGCCTAAAAGCTGCAAATTTCTTGAGAAGACAAATACATGCAATGAGAGATCTTCTATTATCCTAATTACATATACTTTAATAACAGTTTTCCCTTAAAAAACATTTTCTGCAAAAATACCCAGCTCAAGTTTTAAAATTATCATAAATGAAAATACAGTACAACTAGTTATTATATTGGTGGTAGATGAAAACTATAATCTTTTTGAGAAGTCAAGTTTGCAGAATAGGAGACCTTTCTACTCTCTCAATTATCAACTCTTTAATAATAGCTTTTCTTTCAAATTTACCAAGATTGATGGCTTTTTTATTTTTTAATAAAGTGTTTAGTTATACAATTAAATAAAATATAATCCATGCTTAATATTTTAGATCTTATGAAAGAATTTTCTATCAAAAAAACTCTTATGAAAGCTAATAACATTAAGAGGAAGATCCATATGTTCATAAATTTTATATTAAATAAAATATAATAAAACAAAATATGTTAATTAAATATCAATAGTAGGTACTAGATAAGAATTTCTTAAACCTTTAAATTTATTCTAAAGTATAAGAAAGAGCCCATCTTGAAATTATATAATCATTTTACAATCATAAGTTTCATCACCGTATAATAATACAATTATTCAAAGAAGTATGCCATTTCCAAAAAGTTAACAAATATTTTCATAGGTTGATATTTGTAATATATAAAAATTCTATAATAAATCTACACTAAATATTTCATATTTCCTACATGTTTAATAATTTTAAGTAGTCCACATTTCCACACAAATTGACATTTTAAGTGTTGCTTTAATTTAGGGCTAACATTAAAGTAACACCATATCACAATAAACTACAAAAGATATGAAATTGTTATTGTCTCACAGTTTTAATTGAAAGTATTTATACCATCAATTAAAATTCAAGTTATAAATTCTTCCTTTTTTAAAGCCTATAGATTCTTCCCATAAGCAACTAATAATATTCAACAATCAATATACATACATACATATATATATATGGTTGAGCATATTGAAAATTTATAAAAAGGTTAACATGAAACCCACCTAAGTTGTACCCTAGTATATCTAATAAGATGTACTATTAGTTTGGAGTTTTCTATCCCCCATCATTTGTTTTTCATTTTTTCTTAGTAATATTCCATATAGTCTTGTAAGATTTAGGTCTAATGGATGGTCACACAATGAAAACCAGGACAATGACCTTTTTAGGTTCCAGTTAGATGATGGTTTTTAAAAGTTGAACTAGCTAATCACTTGATTAACCACAAAAAATGTAACATATTAATGTAGTTTAAAATTATACTCTGAAAAGCATCAAATCATTTCCAGAGAATAAGACAAGTGGGCCTAAATTTAAACTCACTAATGGACTTGTAACAATAATTTTGGTTAGTGGGCTTCTAATAGTTGGCTTGTTAGTTGGTTTCTAACTACCAGCTTCAATAAATGCTCCAATATTGAGTGTTTCACATAATGCTCCAACAACTAACTTTTGTTCTCTATACAAAGCCTTGTAATCTCAAGCAAAGGGTGATCAAGTTCTTTCTTTTGCTTTGTGAAACTTAGAACTCTCTTTTGAGAGTTGAGAGTCATTTCTTAGGTGAGTGAGCCCCATCTTCTTTGGATGAACAAGTCCTAAACCCCTTTGGGCAACTGGGTTCTCAACCTAATTACCTTTTTGTAATCCACATTATACAAGTCGAGACCCGTGTGATGTACGGGTTTTATTAAGAAAAAATGAAAAATTGAGAAAAAGAGCTTTATGACATTTCCAATTAAATGACATTCATTTAAGTCCAATTCATGCTTTTTTTGGGTTATGTCTAATTTATTTTATCACAATTCAAGTCGCACTTTTGTGAGAGTGGCTAACTTTTCACGATCTTTACAACCCCCACTATATAAAAACTAACTCATTTTGTGGTCTCAAATTTCAGTTTCCAACTCATTTATATATTTATAAAAAATTAAAAAGTAAAATAAAAAAAGTAAAAATTGAACCTAAAATAATATAAACACACACAAAATGTAATTATATTATATCATATCATACATATAGAGATGGAAGATGTGTCATACTTTGATTTTTCAACCTGAACATTTGAACTATTAACTAGATCTGGCAAAAAGTTGACCCAACCCGCAAACCCGACCTAACCCAACTCGAAAAAACAGGGTTAGGGTCTCATATTTAGCTACCTAAATGTGAGAATGACCCGACCCGACCCAACTCGGAAAAAATTGGGTTGGGTTGGATTGGGTCATGGGTCAACCCGCTGACCCGATTGTCAAGTTTAATTGGGACTATTTATAAGTTTCCACTATTCAATTTTTTCTATTTAGTCTTTAGTCTTTATTGTTTACTCTTTAAATTGTTAAATGTCCAAGTTTTTTAATTTTATATTTAGAATTTTAAGGTCAATTCTTTTAATTTTGGCATTTTCATGTAGTTTTTCTTTATTTTTTTAATTTCAGTTATTTTTTGGGATGACCTAAATCGACCCACGGGTCAACCCTAACCCGAACATTTAGGGTTAGGGTCTAGCATTTGGCAACCCGACCCGAAATCAACCCAAAGGATCTTGACCCAACCCAATTGCTAGGTCTACTATTAACCCATGGCCTAGAGGCAAAAACTATTCAGCCTCAAAGTCCATTTTTAAAACAATAGTTTTATTTGTTGAGTGAACTAAATAATATTTATTTAAAGTATAAATTACTTAATCAATTAATTGAAAAATTAATTATCTTTTAAATTTAAGAAGATTATTTAGCCTAATAATATATCATTGATGATGATGATGGATTTGGCCCTCCAGTGACATGATGACACATGGCATTTCAGAACAGTTGGATGACACCTCGACACCACCTAGGCGATGACTTGCCTTAGCCAAAGTGATGAAGTCCGACCTGACGACCTGCCTCTGTCGTCAACCTAGCGACTTACCTCCGCCAACCTGGTGGAAATCTGGCTGTGGCTAGCAACACCTCGTCCAAGGTTGATCTGTGGCACATCGTCAGTACGGGCCAAAGTAACCCTGACATGAGGAGAAACCTCCCTCGATGGCTTCCCGACCTAATTGAGGTCCAAGTGGCGACTTGCGAGATGTGCTCGCCGACCAATTCTGCATGCATATCCCATCACTCCCGGGTTTCTCGGAAGTTGGCCCCTGCACCGAATGTTCTGAAGGAAACCGAACAAGGTGCGAAGACTGGTCTACGTGCATGGCTACCTCTAAGGACTTCGGACCAGTTAGGCATGACCTCCCGGAGACCTCAAACACGATGCGTGAAAACCATACCAAACAACACCTATATATAGGCCTCACCTCCAACTTCAAAAAGGTACACAATGATTTATTGCATTCTAGCTTACTTGCAACCAAACTTTCAACTCGCACACAGGTTACAGTAACTTAAAAATCGGAGCGCCTACACCGGGTTAGACCCTGGGTCCTCTAAGCTCTACTTCCTTGTAGTTTGACCGACCAACTAAGCAACCAACATCCGAGTTGCCCTCCAACTATGAGCATCCAGATCGCGCACCATCAATTAAATATCTCCATTTCAATATAATTATTTTTATTGATAATTATAATTTAACATAAATATTTTTAATGTATATAAAATTATAGTTAAATTTAAATATAGAATTATAGATATAGATAAAGTTAATGCATTTAGACAATTTAATGTAGTAATGAAGAGGAGAGAGAATTAGTGGCAAGAGTTATTGAAGGGTAGAGTTAATGGCATAATTAATTAGAAGAGATAATTAAAGGAGTTAATGGAAAGAGGAGGGGGAGAATGAGGCATTGGTTTTTTGAAAGCAATTAGTAAGGGTTATCTTCTAGTCAGGTATCTGGTTGAGAAGAGCACAAATACAAATATGTACAATGCAAAACCTTTGTATATTGTATTTCTAAACCTTGTTTTGCCCCATACATTTTTAGATTTGTTACCCTATTAATTGGAGAGAAAGTTATTCTTGAGACAAGAAAAATCCAACTAACACGCCACTCAATGTAGCAAAATAACAAACTAAACTTCTTAAAGAAAATGTAAAGAATTAAAATTTAATAAAGAAATAGAATTCAAGAAGAACCTTGTTGAAAACAAAAATGCTTCCTATAATAACACCAACTATTTTCAATGTTTTTCTCCCATCTCTTGTTGATGCAATTCAAGTTCATGCCTAAGAAGTACCATATCATTTTAAACGAAGACAAGTGGGCCTACATTTGAACTCACTAATGGGCATCCAACAACCATTTTGGTTACTGGGTTTCTAACAGCTAGTTTGTTAGACTCCAGATCTCCCGCCCACGTCTACCCACAACACACAACCTCCATGCATTGGGCACATCTCCCCATGCATAATACTATGTAGGAGGATGAGATGTTCTCCATGTGTGGCTGTGATGTTATGTAGGTAGACATGGATAGAGTTCTTGTGGGCAAGAAATTCAGACTCAATTTGTTAGTGGACTTCTAATAGCTAGTTTGTTAGTGGGTTTCTAACAGCTAACTTTATTAAATGCCCCAACAACTAATTTTAAATTAAATACTTCAACAAGTAATTTTGTTATTTATATAAATCCTTGTAATCTCAAGCTACAAGCAATCTAGTTCTTCCCTTTATTGTGAGAAGCCTAGAGCTTTCTTTGAGAGTTGAAAATTCTTCTCTTAGATGAGTGAGTCCCCAATCTTGTTGCCTCATTGTAATCAATCTCATATTAATGAAATTTCATCCAATCTCATTTTCTTGTTTCTTTTGATCAAATTGCTCAATTATTTTTCTTTATATTTGAGTTGCATCATTTGTCAACTCTCAAACTTTTCCAATACCAAAATATCTTTTATTTTATTTTTCTATTCCATCATTCTATGTCTACATGCATGCAGACCCTCTTCTTTTCTTATTTATTGAGATTAATGTGTTTTGTTGTAAAATCCCTAAAAAGTTTTCTCCAGCTTTTATTAATGGCTTTCTGTGGAGCATCTCATTCCATACAACAACAATATCAATATTTGATTCACTCATGCCTAGGGGTGAGCAAAAAAACCGAAAAACCAAACCGACTGAAACCGAACCGAAAAATTGGTTAACCAAACCAATCGGTTCAATTTCAGTTCGGTGTTTAAACAAAAACCAAAGGTACCGGTTCAGTTTCGGTTAACCAATATAGAAAATCGGTGGTTAACCGAACCGACCAGTATACATATATTTCTATATATTTTGTATATATTTATGTATATTATATATATTTTATATTTGTATATATTATAAATTAATAAATATGCATTATATACGTAAATATATTTATAATATATGATATACTATTTATTATTTAAAATATAATATTCTATATATATTTATAATTTTTATTATATATTTATATATATTTTTATAATATATATTGTAAAATTTTAAAAACTGAAAAAACTAATGAATCGAATTGATGGTTATCCGAACTGGTCAACTGGTTAACCAATTGGCTTCGGTTCGATTTCGGTTACCGGTTTTCCAAAAATCGATAGTGCCAATTCCATTACAAAAAAGGCCTAACCGAACTGTAAGCACCCCTACTCATGCCTTCTCTCGTCTCCCTCTTTTATTTCCCTTTCTTTTTTATTTTTTATTGCTTTTTTTTTCTTGAAGTCACTCCTAACTCCTTTTTTAACACCAATCTCAAAGTTCACCAATTTAGCACTTAGGAATTGCATCCAATGGTTTCAATTTTACCATTATAGGATTTGAAACCATTCCCATTTCTTTCTTTACAGGATTCCCTCTTTAGTGCCCTTCAAGAAGTTGTTGATGAAAAAATTGAGGTACTCACTTCTCAATCTTATTTTCTTTGGAAATTACCATTTTCTATGATCAATTAATTAATCTCAACCATCCAAATTATGTCATGAGATTTCAACAAACTTGGTCCATCTTAATGTGTTATTAAATTAACTCAAAGATCAATGGATTACTCTCAACCATCCAAGTGATACCAAGGTTTCAACTAATCTCAATCATCAAAATAATGTATCGAATCAACCCAAAAAACAAGACCATCAAAGAATCTTCTAGAGAAATACGGTAGTCCCACACATCCAAGTGATTTACCAAATTAAACCATGATCTTCTTTGTCAAAATGATATCCATAAATGAATCCATGGATTTAAGCCATCTAAGCAACACCTAGAGTTTCACATGGTAGAATATATGATCTCTACAACAAAAAATAGATATCACCATGGTCTTGATTTTTTTCTTTAAAAACATAAAATGATATGTAAACAATTTAATAATTTACAACTCAAGGTAAACACTCTCAAAGAGTTCAACTAGGATTGCAACTTGGGCAAGCCCAAACCACTGAGGCCACCCAAACTAAGACAAGTATGCATATATGCATTTTATTTATATAAAATATCTTTTTTTAATCACGTATATACATGCATGTATATAGTATGTCTATGTATGTTTTGTTAATGAAATTTGTACATATTTTCAATCCATTTTACTCTCAATAGGGATTTTGTATGATACTTAAACCTTAAAATCTTGTGTGTAGATATTAGTAAGTGTCCATATACTTTGTATGTGGCAATTTTTTATGATGATGATGATAAAAGTAAATAATATGTTTTAAAATTTTTCTACAATTTTTATAATTCTCTATCTATAAAAATTATTCTTATTTGTAAGATATGAATTTTATACAATTGTTCGTGTAAGATTCAAATTTTAATAAGATCAAATTTATAAGACCCTAATAAGATATTAATTTATGAGAATCCAATTTTAATAAGATCGAATAGAGTTAAATCCGTATCCAAATCGGACTTTTGAGTCATTCATACCGTTTTCAAAAACTAAGGAGGGTTTGGTTTTAATGTCGTGTCATCATTTTATGATAGTGTAGCGTTTTCTTGAACGAAAATGGCAATGTTTTAAGGGACAAAAAAAAAAAGTATTTGGTTCCGTTCCGCTTTTTTTTTTCTGTCTTTGAGAAATTCTGTTTCGGCGTAGCACCGTTTTCTCAATAAACCAATGGCAATGGAACCGAACACCTCCTGAAACACCTCAGGTCCTCAATTCAGACTAGAAATGATGAACTCAAACGGCCTCAATTCAGACATAGAAATGAGAATCGGCAGAAAGAGAACATCAAGAAATGAAACGGTACGTACCGTACTTCCCCACCGATCACGGGCATCAATGTTGGCCTTCCGGGTGAGCAGAAGCTTCACGACTTCAACGTGCCCCTCGCAAGCAGCAATGTGCAAAGCAGTCCGGCCATCCAAATCGATGCTATTCACATCGATGCCCTCATTCAGCAAATCTTCCACTCCCTTCGCATCCCCGCTGCACGCCATGAACAGTAACCGCATTGTCGAATCGAGATGTTCCGGCACCGCCAGATCATCCAGAACAATACTCCGACGATTTGGATCCAGCGATGACTGCCTTCCAAAGCTGAAACGGAACGAGTTGCGTCTCGGGTCTAACGAAGCCTGCCGACTGAATACAAACCTTCCACTACTCTTCCTTAACGATCCCGTCGAGAACTGCCGGGAAATACCCCGCTTTAATTGAGAAGCGAAGTCCATGTCTTCTTTTTCCTACTGGATCCTCGAAACAATCCCTGGTTACGAGAATTAATTATTTATCGACAGGACTCGTTCTCATTCGAAAATTGCCCGTGGAAACCACCAAGCTAAATCTTCATTCGAATAAAATCGAAATTAGAGAGATCAAACACCTGTAAAACGTTTTCGGCGAACAGAACTGATTCGAATATGAATACTTGATTTTAATAGAAAGCTAGGAGGAAAAGTGGAGACGGCGAGCTCGGCCAAGAGCTACAGAAGCCCCCGATCACGAGCGATACGAGGTTAGTCAGCTCATGGAGAAAAAAACCGGAGACTAGAGACCGAGATCACCACGGAAGAGAAAATAGAAAGTTGAAGGAAGATTAGAAGGAGAGATTAGACGAGGAACCAGAATGAACAGGATCGCGCAAATGCAGCTTCGAGAGAGAAGGAATGGCTTGGAAGGGAAGAAGAAGAAGAAGGAAAAGAATGGTCTACGTAGAGAAGTCTTCGGAAAGCCCATCGTTGTTTTGTTATTAATAATTAATTATCCATTTATGGTTGTCAGGATTCTGATGATTCTGAGACACAAAGATATGGAGGCGTTTTGCAGGGTTGAGCTGGGAGATATCATGCACCTCCGGAACGATCAACGATGTTGAATTGGCAAGGAGACAATCAGACAACATGCGCCTTTTCCGTCTTTGAATTAACATCGCATGAATTTACATACGCGCAATCCCAACTGTGCATTGGAAATATCTCCACTGACAAATTCGGGAACCGCGCGGATGTGATCTCACATCGCATAGGCCTATCAATGGACCGGATTTGGACCAATGAATCAGTCCGAGGAGAGGGGATTAGCTGAAATTGTTGAATTCGGGTTGGCTCCCCAGTCCCCCCCCTCCCCACACATTAAGGGTGCAATTTGGACGGTCCAATCCGAACCCAAATTGACCTGGTTCGAATATTTTATATAGGTTGGGTTTGAATTTTCAGTCTTTGAACTGGGTTCGAGCTCAAGAATTTAGGCTTTTTTTATTGGGCCTAGCCCTAGTTCTTAGGTAACCTGAACCCAGTCCGAGCCTAACCTGAATATACACATTTATAAATACATATATAAGGATATATATAGCCCGAGCCCAATTCGAGTGCATCAGAGTAAAATGTAGATTGGGCTCAGATTGGGCTTGACCTTGAATTCGGTTCAGGCTCCAGTCTTAGGCCCAAATATATGGATTGGGCTTGGGTTGACCATAAAACTAACTCGACCCGCCTGACTTACACCCCCTACCATAGTTACGCCTCATAACACATTTCCACCATGCATTGGAAACATCCACATGTGTCCCACAATAGGGGATGTTCCAAATAGGATTTTTTGTAGGGCACACGCTATGTGGGGAATAAAACCTTTGAATGAAGCCCTAAACTGTATAAGAAAAGAAACTTTCGATTGAATAAAACCTAAATAAAGGGTTATTCGATAATACTCATACCCTTTTTTCCATTATTCTAATGGGTCACTCTACCCATATTGACCCATTGTTCAAATAGATGGAATTTTAGGTGGATGAATGAAAATTGTTGGGGTCAAAATTGCCAGTTCCACCCACACATGTAGATTTTCCCAATGTATAGTTAGGGTTTTCTATGGAGCACGCTATGTGGAGAAACAATTCTATTTAGAGGTGTAAAACGTGTCAGGCTGCCTGACACGATGGTTTGCGGGCCATGTTGGGCCCGGGGTCTTAGGTCCATGGGTAAGGCTGGCACAGAATAACTGAGTGGGCCATGCGGCCCGTGTGCCAGCATAGGCTTTTTCAAAAAAGCCTGGCATGAGCCTAAGCCCAATATGATACTATATATTAAATAATAAAAATATTTTTTATTTAATAAAAATATATGTACAATATTTTTTCTTTGTTTTTCTTCACTTTTTTTCAAGTAATAGTGAGATGTTTGTTATTTTTGAGTTTAGAAGGTTTTTAATATAAATAAAACACTTTATTATTGAATAAAAAAGAAAAAAAAATGTTTTCAAATTTCTAGCAAGGCTCAGGCCTGGGCTTCGGGCTTTATATGAGGGTCGGGCTCGGGCTCAAGACCTAGGCCCGATGGTCAGGTCGAGCTTAGGCTCGGGCCTGAATGTATTCTGTTGATACATAGACAAAGCCCAACCCGAACCCAGCCCGGTCTGGCCCATGAACAGGTCTACCCAAGCCTAAACCTAAAACCCTTTTTGCTTTTTTAATATTTTTAATTATATTACTATAAATATTTTAAATATCATTACTTATCCTTATTATTATCATTTATATTTATTTTTATTATTCTTTAATAATATTATATGGTGTTTTCTATATTTTTTAAATTTTTTATTATTGTTATTTTAAATATCTCCTTTGTTTTTGCTTTTTTTGTTAGATTTGTAATATTCTTTAATGTTTACCTTAATTTACATTAATTTAATATTTATAAAATTGCTTTATTATACGTTATATTCATTTTATATTATTTTTAATAATATTGTATGATTTGTTTTATATTTTTAAAATTTTTATTACCATTACATTTTCTTTTTACATTTTTATTATATTTATAGCAATTTTTTACTAATTTATCTTTTTACACATTATTTATTTTATATCATTTTTAATACTTATTATATTTATGATAATTTATTATATTACATTACCTATGTATACATTTTTTATTTTAGTTTTAAATTTTTATATAAGAAAAGCTAAAATTGGGTTTAAGGCCAAAAAGGTTTATATACACACACACACACATATATATATATATATATATATATATGTCTTGAAAAGTTATCCAAAATAAAGAAAATCACCACAATCGTACAACTGAGCATAAAGTTATGACCTTTGGATGTTTGCATATACATGTAACTTGTAACTCATAGCCCAGTTATTGGGCCAAGTGGGTAAACTGTTTAATCACCCAAGATGAACAGGTTTTTGACCAAGTCATTGGTTTTTGGTCAAATCCCAGGTTTTAAGCAAACTAGACCTGGGAATAGGACTGGATGATGGTTCAAACAATTTGATTGTTTGAGTCAATGGCAGATTGAATACTGTTATCCCAGGTTTTAGATAACAGTATTTTTTGAAAAATAAATTAAAAATTTTAGTTATGAATAATGTTTTTAAATATATTTTAATATATAGAAATAATATAATAATATATATTTAATATACATATAGGGCAGGAACTTCAATCTCCATTCCTGACCCCGACCCAATCGGAGATTCCTATTAATCTCTGTCTCCATCTTCACCCCATTAAAACAATCCCTATCCCCAATTTCATCAAGTTGAGAAAGTCAGATCTATGCCGGGGATGGGAAAAATTATCATCCCTACATTCACTTTACATCCTTCGTTTAAAAAGTTTCATAGTTTTCTCTTTGATAGTAGCAAAATTGGTAGTTCATTGTCATTGTCCAAAATGCGGTTAATCATAGGAAATCTATTTTGTTCCCAACCTAGTATTTTGAAAGGTTTATTACCATTTGACAAAACATTGTTAATAATTACCAACAATGGCACATGCATGGTCAAAGCATGCTTTATTAAGATGAGAAATTCAGTAGAATTGAACATAACTTGCCATCTACCTTAACAAAGACAACGGTCAAGACAGGCAACTGAACATCCATTGGTCCAAGTGAATATGTTACCCACTTACCCACAATCCTAAGTCTAGTCGTACTAGATTTAAAATGAAAAATTTATTAAATTCATTGATTGACCCATGAGCTAAGCTACGTTTCACTCTTTCAGTCGAATTGGAAACTACATTAATTGAAAAGCCAAGCAATATCCACATTAAAGGCAAAGTTCTCTAAAAGATGTTACATGTCATGCCTTTTTAGGTAATTGCATATCCATATATAGATAGTAGTTATAAGAAATCACATCTGTCAGTCTAACGATTAAGAATTGACCAAAAGAGCCAACTAAACTCCATATAGAAAGTGTTTTACAAAAAAAAAAAGGCCATATTCTGCAATCTCCAGCTAAAATAACCATGCATCCCAATCTTTTTGGCCACATCGGAGCCCTACTCCTCCTCAGTGAATAGCTCCATCTTAGATACAAAGGAAACTTTAATGAATTTGAATCAGTTTCTTTAATAGGACTAACTTTTAGTTGTCAACCCCTCCAACATTCTACAATAGGGCAGAAGTTATGAGTAAAATGTGGGTGAAGATTGAGGCAAGTCATCTTTACCTGTAGTAGGATTTCTGATGTGTTTCAGTCGAACGAATATGTTGGCTCAAGTCCAAGTTTACTCATAGATTGACTAGTGAGAGTCCCCTCTACCAGGCCCTGTTTGCTTTTTGGAAAGTTATTTATCCATGTTATTTTATTTCTCAAATAAATAAGAAAATGACTATTTTAGTGATAAAATATTATATTTAAAGGGGTAATTTTGTTCTATCCAAGTGTTGGCAAATTTCCCCCTAAGCGTGAAAGTTATTTATCTGCCTATGAGATGGGGTAAATAATACTTAGGAAAAATAAATTTTTCATGAATCCCACATAAATATGAAAAAAGAACATGACCTGATATGTTGGTTCCCACTGACCAATTTTCCTCCCCTCAAAATCCAAAAAAAAAAAAGAACATTCCTTATCGACAAACATCAACATTTTTCTAGGTGCACCTCATCCTACCGTTCTTCAATTTTTGTATTATTCAATTAAGGTTCAAGATATGAATCATCTTCATTTTATCCACATTCAGATAGGCTCTGCATATATAGCATCTTTAACCTGGTTATCAAGATTACCTTGAAAAGATTTAAAAGAGTCCATAACTTTATTACTAGTGTTTGAGTTTTCCTTGGATTGACCTTCAATAGACTTTGGCCTAAAGGAAATAGTAGAATTTTGATCACCAATAAGAGTAGCATTAATACACTTTAGATTTAACTTAGAAGATGGGCCAAAAACTTGTTGAACTGCATCTTGTACAGCCACTTGGAC